TGATATATATATATATATATATATATATATATATATATATATATAATATCACCATGAAAACCTTTATCCACATGGTGCACCCTGGAACACTTCATAATTTACATACGGAATAAAATGTGACGCATAACAAAAAATAAACATGATTACTGTGCCTGCGTCAATTTAGCTGGTGGTTGCTTGGACATTCCCATAGCTTCAACAGAAACACAGTTGCGAATAGTGATATTTTCGGGATCACACCGTCAGTTCAGTACATTTTTAGTGGTCACAATAAGGTAAATAATGGGTATATGCAGGTTTCGTAAACAAACGCTACACCATATCCAAGGAAATCTATGCACACCCAAGAAAATCCCAGTTTTTTCAAATCCTGGTGGAGGTTCGTTAGGGTCGAAAAACTGAGTCAGAGAGCTTCGTCCTACTAGCATATCGTTATTCAACCGAAAACAAGTAGCTTTCGGTCCAGGCACCGTCTGAGCTGAATTTATTGTGGACATTATCACTATTCAGTTTTCTGTACCCTACAGCACAGGAAGAACCTTTCATCTACGTAGCTTACAGTGCGGTAGACGAGATTTTTCCAACACTCCCTGAGACCTTCCAGTAGTTATTAACGGCTCCACTGGTGTGAGGGGCACACAGTACAAATGTATTCATGACCCCAAGATCCACACACTCGGGCGATTGCAGCACCTGTTTTTGTCAATCCGTGGGGATTGGCTATTTCGGATCAGTTGAACTACTTGGGGACCATGCATAATTGGTAGCTGATGCGCACTCTTAAAGGACTCGGATGTAGTGCTAGGTATGACGTACTGATGTCGTCACCATACCGCAATGACTGAGCACGAAGAACAGACCTACATTGGGTTACCCAACACCAATAGCTTCCATCATCTTTTGAAAGCAATCCCCATCGTATTTTCTATTAGTTACGCACAGAGGAATGGCGCTACACCCATTTCGGCGAAACGCGGCCACACATTATGGAGTGGTGCACTCTTATTTCAATCAGAATTATCCCGATTTTTTTAGTAGCAGATAATCAAGATGAAAACAAAAAGGTCTTTTACTAGAGTAAAACGCTTTCTCCCAAAAGTCGCCAACCAGAATCGAGTCTGGCACGCTTATCTTGAGGTTTTTCAGCCTCTCAGAATGATTCACCGTTACTCAATGGTATTTTACGGACGGCTGGAGAACGTTTACACTATAACTTCAGTTGCCGAAGTAGGCTAACGAATGCAGTAAAATATTATATGATGTTAGGGTTGCATATTCTTGTTGCAATAAAAACCTGAGGGTCCAGACGGATGTATAGCACCTGGGTCACCCTTGTTCCTGAAAGCAGTCCCAGCTTCCAACATCCGTTCGAAATGTTAACCCATGTTTTACAGTTCAGTGAAGAGTTGTGGCCGTAAGTACTGGCCAGTGAAAATTGGTGTCGAGTAAAAAACATGGACAAATGTATGTAAGACCTTTGCCTATGTCGTGCGTTGTTGTGGTCATCGTGCCACAGCTAAGACTACATAGATTTAATTGAGTCGATATACCATTGTAGAAATATTGAGGACCTACTGTTGTCAAGAGCGGAACAGCTGAAGTAAGGAATGCAGTTCAAAAAGATACAGAAAAGTTCAGCAGTTCGAAGAGGCATGATACGTCTTGGACACTTAACCTCTGGCTGTTCTCTCGGAGCCATTGTTTTTAATGATTGGAGAAAAGTGTGGAAGCGACCAAGGAGTCATCGTTTCGGGAGGGTTTGGTATAAATCCACCGATCGTTTACCAGATCTGATTGAAACCTCTGGGCTTAAATCTCCATTTTGAGTTATCATTCAAGATGGTCCTTCGGCTTTTTCCAAGTACAGCCAACTTGTGAAACACACTCTCGCTGTATGCATTCCCTATGACTAGCAACTGGCATCTCTTCAGTTGTTATCTATCTGTTAAGAGACCGTAAAATTGTACCACTTTAGAAGCATTGTCCCCCATAACAAACAGATCTTCGAATCCTTCGGTTAGATGGTTACTTAGTGAATCACACTTTCGATAAAACCTCATAATTACCAGAACATGTTCATGTGTTGAGCTAATACCAACGGAGACCCTAATATCTCCTGCATGCTTCTGAGACCATCGATTTTTCACTTATTAACCTTGAGCACAAAATCAATACGTGTAGCTCAGTAAGGGGTACATCCACACAGACTTGGGCAGCTGATACGATAGTTAACTTACCAAACATCATGGTAGTGGGATCAACGTGGCCAGATGTTGCAGGCCCATAGGCAGCAGAAGTCGAAGTGTTGTCCGTGTGATATTCCTTGTTGGATGCGTTCTTCAGATTTGACTTGGGCTGTTTGGTCTCAAAAGTATTCATTGAGGTAGACGAGCTGGATTTGGGATTCCTCTGACTCGTCGTACCCTCCTGAGGGGACAAACCGCTGGATGAATTGGAAGACGATGCGGCAGCCGCCATGGCTGCTGCGTTAGCCCAAAGCAGAGCGGCCTGCTGGGCATAGTTAAGACCAAAATAACCGGGAAGAAGTTCGCCATCATTTGTGGAATCTGCAGAGCCTCCGGGTGGTTGTGGATAAGAGTTCCGAGTTTGGGATGTCATCGTTGTCAGAAAGGCTACAAAAGGGTGGAGACCGAATAAAAATTATATAGACGCCCAAATTGACCATGAGAAGAAATCAGAAAAAGTAGATATGTGAATGCAACCTCGTTCTGTTCCCACCTATTGTCTCCGAGGCTTCGTTGCCCTGACCTGTGTTCACTAGGTAAATAGCAACAACAACATGTTGGGCTCTGATAAGCACACCATAGCAGCCAGCAGAATGACATCCTAGTGAACAAACATAACCCAGCATGACAAAATCATGACTCACGCAAAACCAAGCTGTTTAATGATATAAAACACGCCTATTAATGTCCACAGTCGACGCAAGTGTGTGAAACATGAGGGACAGGGTACGCACAACGTGTGTAGTCTATTCGAATGTCGTCTATGTAAGTCGCCGTTGTTTGTTCGGGTAGTGATCGATTTTTTATCCAAAAAAATGTGCATACAAAGCGCACAACACTAACTGCTTTGTCTTGCCACAGGCTCAATATACAATGCAGTCACACATGGTACGGGTAACAGCTAACTCGTTTCTACGTAGGATCGATACCAGTGTGATTAAGCTCATCAAGAAAGCGAGCAAACACAAGGTTCGGTTAGTTTGTGAATCATTTGCGCTGATATCGTCTTACGACTGACTCAGTAAGATAAGGGTCTGTCATATTGTGCTATTCTTTTGGAAGCCGAGCAGAAAAATTCACCGACCGCGGCGTTGTTGGCAGCTGTAAACGCCTAGGCAGCAGGTATTTCATCGTAATCGGAAGCTATTGATAGCAATTTGGTCCGCAGAAGATGGGATAGGTTGAACAGCCTCTTTGTTAACACCATGAATAAAAACACTAGAATGAATTCTTCCGAGTAAGTGTCTAGTAGAAGCTTGACTATACTCGCGGAACGAAAGTAGTCACCTTCTGAGACCCAACCAACAGCGCACTGAAGATGTCTCCTTGAATGGTGACGAAACGTTTGCAAATCAATTGCCAAGCTCGGCGAACAGATCAACAGCCACCTGATCAATTACCAACCTTCTGAGATGTTTACCGCTAGCTTCTAGTTGGGACGCCGTCTGCAGACGCAAACATTAAGCTTCAGAACGAGGTGAGTGGGTAAAGGAATATGGAAGCTTAGAAAAGCTATTCTTAAGGCATGTTCGAATGTATGCATTTTCGAGGTGTCTTAATCAAACACTCTTGCCGTTGACTATCACACGTCCACGTATATGATGTGCCAAAAAAAGCAGCAAGGGTCGGGAAATTCAGGGTTGTGAATGTATGCAAGTCAAAGGACCCTTGAATTTATTAGCTATTATTAAACAAGATACCCCGCTGGTGTTAGAATCACTGATCAAATTAAATACATTCCTGGAGAGCGTTTGGTAAGGTGGCCCACTGGTTAAGGCATGGACTTACTGACCGGAAGTCACGTGGTTCAAAACCAAAAGCGGCATTTCGACTGCTCCTGTCTAGTCTAGGACGACCCGGCAGTGTCCCAGCTTCTGGGCTTCCTTGGGATGGAATGACAGCTGGGCACTCAAAGTGTTCTACAGTTGATTAATTACTTTTTTATTTTGGCGAAAAACACGGTAGCTGGTTAGTGTACTCGTACTCCTTCCGGAGTACGAAGTACGAGAAATTGAGTTAAAACGAGTACCATCACCCAAATTTAATATTGGCAGTTACCACTAGCAGTCCTATTTCTGTCATTGTGCTGCGCAGGAGTGTTACCAATTTTTGACGTCATCCCGTCAAATGATGCAGCTGTACGGGGTTGTTTTGTAAACTGGTGGCCAAAAAGATGAACAAATTCGTTCTAATCGCGTGGATCTTATTTTTGATATGAACTGATTCTTGGAAGTGGTAAGTTTCAATGGTGAGCGAAGGATATGGTTGTCTGTCATGAGTTCATGTGCTCAGATCGTGAAATTTTCGTAATTTGTCGACGTCCACAAAACATTACATCATTTATGAAGTTTTCCGGAAAAATACGGTTCATTTGCCTCATTTTAACGAAGCCAAATTAACTGTTCTCTTCTAGAACGAGTTTCGCACTTTACACATGCTTCTAAGAATCTAAGAAGCGCTTGTTTACTTAAGCGGTGGACTCTCTAAGACGCACTTTTGAGAAAGGAGAGCCTATTATTGAGAATTTGAGAGCACCAGCATCCACTATGTGGAAGAAATTTGCCACAGGACTTAACAGTTCCTTATGCGAACCTAACGTTCCAAAAGCAGTCTGCAGCATCCGAAAAAAGCTCAATGAATCACTACATTGATTCACTTGGAGGAAGACTTCATTATACTAAAGAGCATTTCTTTGCCACGACTCTTTCTCGGACTGATGAGAGCTCTTCGACAGCGCATCGCAAATTACACTGTTTTCGAGAACCACCAGGTAGATGTCGCGTCACTTCACTCAATCTTACTTTACCCACACGGGTTCATTCAATTTAGAACTTTCTATGATTTGAACCCGATTTTCTGCACTCTACTTCACACGAAAGAATTTTTGACAAAGCATTAAATTAGGCAGCTGTCTGTGGATAGTTTCCGCCACCCGGTTGTAAACACATGTTCATCCTGATCCATAGCAGTCATATTGTACAACTGAACTCGTCAGTATGGAAACTTCAAGGACGGCAGGAAGCTTCATCATCCGCTAAACTGAAAGCACTTCCACTTCTGACCCAATTTTATCCCATTGTGAAAGACCAATCACAAAAGACAGCGAGTAGTACTTGAAGCTGCGTCCCGGTTTTCATAAGAAACATTATTCTGTCGTGATTCAGTTTACGGAAAACCTTGATTTTGACAATTCGTCATGCCTCATCCACAACCACATACTGATTCTTTATGGGTGAATTCTGACAGCTTATGTTCACTTTTTTAAAAGTAAATGATACTTAATCTAAGTAAACTGGACTACCTTGAGACGTCGCACTATTTGGTTTGTTTGTGATACCCATCTTTGTGTACTCATTTTCCATGCCAAAACAGCCAGGAAACGTCCGGACCATGACAGAATGGTGAATGAAATAAAATTCCATTAGTTGAGGGGTTGTAAACTTGAAGGCGAGCCAACCAAGCTGAAGTTACGCTGTGGTGAAATTAGTTAGTCATTCAATACGTGAAAGTCGGCTTACTTGTTCGTTTTGGAAACGAAGTTAGTGCCTAAGAAGATCAAGCAAGAAAGGGATGCAGAAGTCACCAAAAAATTGCGCACTCATTACTCGCCGAAAAATTGTATTTCAGAACTCCTCATAAAAGTTTTCCGAGCGAGAAGGAAATTTCGGTTTGTGTTCACTACAAAAAGGAACAATAATCCTGAGGTTCATTGTGACCTATCCTTATGAACAAGTCTGCAACGAATTTCACCTCACGACGAGCGCTAAACCAAAAGTCACTCATGCCTGGCCTAGTTTCATCAGGTCGCACCAACCGATAGTGAATTACACTCAGAAATATGTTATCTTCGCCGAAGATATATCTCATTCTGTTCTTATAAAAATCCGATAAATTGAAAATGGATCTCAGTTTATCATCAGTCGGAAGCCAGTACCAGATAAACGTTTGGATCCGTTTTTGAAAAGCTCCCTTCATCTACACAGATCTATGGGAGGATCCGATACTTGACACCAGCAAACAGACAACGGGTAGCGTTTTAAACAATGGTTTTCTTTTAGTGTTTTACGAGCAGTATGACGCATTGTAGCTCCATTGAAATCCACCAGGATAACTTGCAACTAAAGGCGATAGATTTCAAAGCAGACCGACCCTTCCGTAATCTTGTTATCAAACGTGGGAAATTTCGCAGTCTATCCTTCTGGTAAACGAAATATTTTGCACGGGAAAGTCTTCCTAATGGCAGATTTCCTCATCAGAGTTATTTCACTGCTGCAACCATAGTGCGCCTCCCAAATGAGGAGAGTAATTGGGTCTCACTGGCCACATCGTCTTGTGACCAAATAAGGTGCTGTTGCATTGCACCGCGGGCTAACATTACGACCCATGAGTAGTTCTCAGCTTTGTCCACCTAGCTACGGAACTGACCACGGAAAAAAATTGTCATATTCGCGTCTGTCATCCAAACGCAATCATTGGTCCACAGTTCGACAAGTAGGAAGCTTAGTTCTGGAAACTGCCCACCAAATGATTCGTGGTGGAGTAAGCAAATTCACGGCCACATGACTTCCATAACGACCCATGTGTCTGTGCAATTGAACCGTATAAATATATCACTGAAAAACTGGACTATGGGCTTACTCCCTTGGTTGGTTTGCCATCCAACCAAACTCACTCTGCACTACAGAACGAAAACTAGGTGTTACCAGACAAAAGTTCCTCAGCACGTGCCAACCCTTATTTTATATTTGTATGAATCGTCTGCATAGCTTCTTCATAAGGGTGAGTCTCAGTAATGGTAAAAAAAGTTGACAGAATACTTGTCGCACTTGTCAAGTTTTCATCAGGTTGCGCAGAATGAAAAGCCGACTGTTGAGTGCACACTGCACAGGAAATCGACAAGTGATGCATGCGAAACGAAAGAGCGCACGGGTCAAACGTCACGATAGATTGTTTATCTATTTTAATGTGTACCACCTACTTCGAGCTGTAACAAGCATCGCTTGCTCCTGAAACGTGTCCGCCAAAACTCACACGTCAATTACTGGGTTAATCAAATCAAAAGAGCTACGCATCGCACCACACAGTTACAACCGATCGATTAACATAAGTTAAAAGTTGGAAAGCAAGACAACTGCCGGTCCACTGCCCATACAATGCTGTTCTTTGATTTGTCTTGTCTCTAGGTGCACAGTGTGTTTCATTTTTTTTCGGTTGAAAAATCGATATGGGAAGGAATCACGAAAATGATTTTTTCAACGCAAAAGATGTGCAACACATAAGGACCTCTGGCGAAAAGACATGAAAAATCACATCTGTGAACCATATGCTTAATTCGGCGTCAAGTTGTACCCCAAGCTCAATCTGCTTGGTTATATCGAGTACTGAAG